CTACAATTCGTATCTAGTTGAAGATATTACTCTCAAAAATTGAAAAAAAAATTCTAATTTATCAATTAAACAGTTAGTTATTACATCGTCTCCATAAATACAATTAAAATCATTAATTTCTAATGTTTTCAAAATATTTATTAACGAATGAAGTTTAATATGATAGGTTTCAACTACCAAATTAAATCATTTTACTTTGTAATTTAATAATTTTTTTGCTCTATTTGTGTGTGCTACAACAAGACTATAATATTAGAAATTTCTTTGTAACATGTTGCTATATAAATCATTTCTAAAAAAAATGATTATTTTTTCTCCTGAATTAACAATTGATTTTTACAAATTTTATAATACGCTCAATTGAGTAAATCTTTTTAACAACTTTGTTTTGATTGGTTCATTTAGTTAAAGTAAATCATTAAAATTAATTAAGTTCTCAATATTTCAATTATAGAATCTTTTCAACAAANCATTAATTAAGTTCTGAATATTTCAATTGCAGAATCTTTTCAAACACCAAAAGTTACTAGGAAATTATTACTATTACTTCTGTTTAAGTTATCTATTACCATAAAAATGCAAAAAAATATTGAGCTTTTCTGATTAATTTACAATAAATAGTAATTATAAAACTTTTTGACTGCATATTGATCTAAACGATACAATTTTTTTAATTGTCATAAAATTTTCTATTTAATGATGTCAATTTCAAATTTGCCAATTGAGCTAAAAGTTATGGTAAAATAAATTATTTTTTTTTATTTTAAACATTTACAACAATCAACTTTAAACAATTAAAAAAATAGGTTAAATATGTCATTTTCCTTAATTTTAATATATTAATAATTAAAATCAGTATTAATTTAAAACAATTTTTTTTGTTCTTAATTATTTTTTTTTATCTGTAAATACTATTTTTTAATAATATTAAAACTTAAAAGTGATAGAAATAGTCTAATTGTATATTTAAAAACATCGCGAAATGTTGATTTACAATATTATATTTTTGTTTCTGATGAAAATTCCTGGTAGTACAATGTATATAACTTATAACTTTGTTATCTGTTAAACTTTATCAAAAATGACCTAATCAGTATAATTTTTTTTTATATAGATGCATGTCTTTATTTATCATTTGGTTTATTTTTTTTATAAATCTAACTCTTTACCTGCTCACAAGAGGGATTCAAAATAATAACTTTTTTTTTTTAGTTAAAGTAAATCATTAAAATTAATTCAGTTCTGGATATTTCAATTGTAGAATCTTTTTAAATATCAAAAATTACTTAGAAATGATTACTATGATTTCTATTTAAGTATTCTATTACGAAAAAAATGCAAAAAATAATGAGTTTTTCTGATAAATATACCGTAATAAATATATAGTAATTATAAAATTTCCTGACTGCATATTAATCTTAAAAATAACATTGCTCTAATTCTCATAAAATTTTCTATTTAATGATTTATTTTAGTCAACGAAGGAGTCATTTTGGCGGATAACAGAAAAATTTCCCAACCAAATTTTATTTTTTTTAAGTAGGAAATTGGTGGATTATTCCAAAAGCAACATCAACTCTTATATCTTTAATTATATCTGTTAAAGGGCTGTTAAAGGGTCAAATATTCACAAAAATTTATATAAAATGATAGGTAAATATCTAAGATATTGATAAAAAAAAAATTATATTGATTTGATCATTTTTAAAAAAGTTATGGTAATTTTAAGTAAAAAAAATTGAAAAAATATCAAAAAATAGTAATTTTTTGGGGGATTTCCCCCATTTACGGGGAACGAGAGAACTTTTTTCAATTTTCGAGGGTAATGTCTTCGACTAGATACGATTTGTGATCTTTTGACATATTGTTCATCAAAATCGGTCCAGCGAGAGCTGAGATTGAGCGTTCACAGACACAAAAAAAAAAA